TTTAAATAGGGCTGAAACGTGGGTTTAATTTTATTATATAACCTTATAAACCTTAATATTTTCTTTTTAAACGTATTTTTTTTAATACCACAATAAATCTATAAGAATATTTATATAACTTAATTGTAAATTATTTTATTAAAATTTAAATTCTTCACTAAAAAATAATGGTTTTAATCATATTCTTTTAAAATATCAGTTACTGACACTATAATAGTTTTTATTTTAACATATATAATAAGTTTTCCCATAAAAGTATATATCATCCAATAAATAAAATGCATTGTTTCAGTTTGTAATAAATTTCAAATGCAGAAACTTTTATCAGAATATTCAATTTTCCCAAAGGTTGTTCTGTTACCTGATATTCTGTGGTTGAAGCCTATTTTAAGCCTACGTCAAAGAATTTTAACCAATATTTGACTACAGTCTAATGGCTGTTCCCTGTTGACTAAAATTAATTATTATTTATGCAACAAATTTTCTGAATTATTTGCTCAGCAGTAAATTTTCTGTTTATTGCAGTGAAATGCAGTGAATTGCAGTGAATTGCAGTGAAATGTGTTTCGAATAAGCCTCTTGCATTACACCAAATTCCCAACCAATCTAATAGGATAACAATTCAATGCATTTAGAGCGTTTGCCGACATTCGGTCTGATTTAAACTTCCTTATGTTTAATTAATGGCTATCACAATTTGAACTCTACTCACCTTTTAGTGCGGCGAAATGCAGTTGCGATGCAAGTCTCAACCACAAACTGGAAAACTCGGCCAAAATGTAATTTCAACAAATGCACAAAATCACAATTAAATTTTGAGCCACAGAGTAAATTTCAATTAACGAAAATTCAATCAATTTAACAGAATTTTTACTATTTATTTATTTTTTGATCATTTGTTTCTAATGCAAAATAAAACACAATTTCGAATTTAGGAGGCGAGCACAAAGCAAACACGTCCAACACAATGTAATGTAAATAAAGTTAGACAAATTGATTTCAACAAACGGAAATGGCACGGATTTCCGTTGCGGTTATTCAAGTGTAATTGCAGCAATTGTTTTTAAATTGGTAAATAATTTCTAGCCTTATTTTTATAGGTTTTAGTAGGATTTTGTTGCAGTTTCAATAAATAAACAACATCTGGGCCGACTGTTCTAGCAACTGCATTAGCGCATATCAAACTTTACGCCCAAAAGCAGGCAACAAAAATATTTGCAATTCGCTTGTGGTTTGCATCGCATAAAATCTCATTAGGCTTTCAAATTAATTGGTTATCTGCAGCAACAGATAGAAAAAATCTACGTTTCAGAATACGATTTACATGGATTTTTTATTAGATATTTTTATCAATTTCAATTTAAAAATATGAAATACTATTTTTGATCATTTGATATGTTTTAATTTGGCATCACGTACCGACACAATTTCACTGAATTAATTCCTCTTCTTTCTAAAATATTTTTTTTATTATTCTGTTTGCATATTTACGCTTAACCGCTGATTTATACAATGTTCTTGGTATAAAATAGAGGCGGAATTTTTTTCTTTAATTCATTTATAATTCACGAAATTTATGCTTTGTAAATATTCAATCCTTCATTAACGCCTTTTCACTCATCTTTCATTTTTCTAGTCTTAGTTCAAAACACAAAGCAGATTCTGGTTTGTTACTTTCTTATATTAACACAAAAGTCTCAAATTATTTTTTGTAAAGCCTAAGCACATCGCCTGTGGCATCTTATTTTGTATCTTAACAATATATCGTCGACGTCAGATTTGAAATTATTTTCTCCTTTGCCGGAAACTCAACTCCGCTGCACGTGCAACTTATATGCTTTCCGACGTTAAACTAACGAAAATCTACTTCGTGCTTGAAGTCTTAAACGAATAGAAAGTTTTAAAATTTCACTAACATCAAACAATAACAGAGCTCTGTTAAAAGTAACATTAATTTGTGGAATTTATGTTAAACCAATAGATTAGGTGCATGCGTTAAATGCAACAATTTGGCTTAAAAGCAAATTGGTTACAAAAAGGAATTAAAGAATTAAAAATTTATTTTATTTAAAATATTATTTCTAAAATAAAATTAATTTTAAACTATTATTATTATTAGTTAAACTATTTAAGATTAAGATTAAAATATTCAGTAAGCTTTTTTAAGTACAATAAACTCTGAATTTAGTTTTTCTTAAATTAGGAGTTCTAAAATACTAAATGCCTTTGTAGAAATCGTTTTGGTTACTGTAATAACTTTTTATTATATTGCTTTAAATCAATACTAAAGCAATCATAATTTATTATGTTTTAATTTCAGCATCACTTACTTTCAAGCCATGACAGTTCATGAAGAACTAACTGTTTGTTATTGCAGTTGTCTATCGTTACTTTCATGTTCTTACGCTAGCATTTCACTTATAGTATCAATTGGTTTTATATGTAAGTTTATTTCATTTATTAATTCAGCTATTCTAACATAAAATACTATTTCTATTATTTACAAAGCATCTCAAGCAAATTCTATACTCTGGCTGAATTAATTAACAGAATTTTTTAGAAATTTGTTAAATAAAAATCCTTTATAGAAAATTAATTTCCAGTATAAGTGATTAAATGTTTATACTAATAACTAATGAAAACGAAATGTTTTTGTTTGTATGTTATTAACAGTAGAATATCATAAGTAAAGATTTGTTAACAATACTTATAACAGAATTACTTTATTCCCCTACTGTTAAGCACAGATTTATGTACTGTTAAATTTTGTGGAAACTAAACAATTCTAAGACTTAGATTTTAAATAAAATTTGGGTTTTTGTAAAATACAGATTGATTTATCTTTATTTCATAAAACTCTAATCTAAATTAACCAATATTCATCTGAATCAGTTTTATTTTGGCAATAATCTTAATAAAATCGGTTCTAGTTATGCTGTATAGACTTCTTAATAGCATAAAGAACTGTGTCTAAAATAGTTGTAATGTAGATGATTCTATTTATAAAGTTATTGACATTAAATAATAATAACCTAATAATATTATATGTTATTATAATACAATAACTTTTTTTATTAAGTTTATAAAACCGCTAAAGTCGTAATTGATTATGAAAGAAAAATGAAAAATGGATCGAACTGGGTTTAAATAGGTTTTCGGTGTATGCTTATTGTCTGCAGAGAAGTCGTCAATAAATTAGAATCCCACTATAGGCGCAGCATCCTTGATATTGAGTTAAAACGAAACTTAAATTCTTAAGTCCTACCAGTCAAGTAAAAAATATCTTGTAAAGTATTTAAATGATGGATCATTATTATATTTCGAATAAGAAACAGAAATTGATGGTACTCTGCATACACCATTCATAAAATTGGTATTAATATTCTAAAAAATTAAACTAGAAATATATAGAACGATTATCAGAATGGTTTTCATATAAGAGTATAAAACATGTATTTCGAAACAGGATAAAACAAATCCGTTAACCTCTCTAAGTATAACATATTGAAAA